AAGCAGAAAGAAGAGGAAGAAGAAAGAAGGAAGAATAGGGAAGAAAGAAGAAGAAAGAAGAGGAAGAAGAGGAAGAAGAAGAAGAAAGAATAAAGAAAAAAGAAGAAAATCAAGAATGGTCGGGGACCGCCTGATCCCTCATGCAAACGAGCTTCTCGATGATCGGAGAGCGAAAATTTAGGCTGGATTTTTGGAGTTATGAGTTATTATCATCGTAAAAGTAAGCATTTACTAAATCTTTTAAATTAAGTGAATTAAAATTAAGTTTATTATCATCCTAAGAATAAGCATTTACCCTAAAGTCTCGAGTATAAGTTCATCCGAGTATAAGTTCTGCCTTATCCTTGCTTTGAATTTCTTTTTGTTGGGTTTATACATTTTATATGTTATATACTTTTATATTGTTCTTGGGCGCGGGATACTACAGGGTGACGCCTATCACCATTGCTATTTGTTATGTGCATGGATAATCCAGACGATTGTTGAAGAAGACGCTGGAAGCATCTCTTTCGCCGTCGACGTGGACTTTGGCCGGATGAAGAGGCCAGGGAGGGATCCATAAGACTGAGCACCGGAGAGAAGCAGGGCGGACGCGCCGAGCCACGCCCGGAGCAACAAATAACAGCATAAAATTGCTATAACCCTCAATAAATTTCTTCTATTATTGTTCTTGCAAAAGTTATGCTGCGGGGGTTCGAACCCTCGACACACCGCACCGGAGACAGCCGTCAATTTGCATGCGAAACCAAACGACTTATCTCGCGCTTTGGTAAACCTACTAAATCTAAAGCTAAAATCAACTCCGCCAATAGGTTTTACGACTCGAAACAACCCGGGTTTGGAACGGACGGGAATCGAACCCGACACCCCCAGTTGGGGCAGTTGTTTTGTAGACGGGACGCTAACCACCTCGACCACGCCTCTTCCAATGGCCACCGAATTCAAAAAGACATGGCTAAGTGGCTTTTCTGATTTTTGATGGGTTTTTGATGAAAAGCGTGTTTTGATCAAAAAGTATATACCTATTCATTTTTAATTCCCTATCATCAAAAAAAAGTTTGTCGAAATCGGTTCACGGGGAGCCGAGATCCAGAGTGTGACGGACGGACAGACAGACAGACAGACAGACAGACAGACAGACAGACAGACATACAGACAGACAGACAGACAGACAGCCCCCATATAGTAGATTAGATTTAAAGCTACTTTCTAACCGCTTTCAAAATGAAATATTTCGTTTAAAGGTCTAGACAATAAAGAGAAAATAACGAGCAAACAGAGGAGACAAAGGGAAAAACGATTCAGAAAAAAGATCTCAACGTATCAAGTTACTCGAGATTGATCAAAGTGGTAGGCTGTACAAAGTAATGTAAAGAAGGGAAATTTAAAAGAATTTCCTAGTCTTTTTCTAAGAAAGATCTTTTTCGACAAGCGCATTGTTCAAATTCATTGAGTAAAACAAAACTTCAAGGTTCAAAATATAAAGTAAGTATTAGGTACATGCATAAGAAATGCGGATTTGAACATTTTCATAAATTTCCAACGATAGAAACCTGATATCGACGAATGTTATAAACTATTTGAAAGTTGTAAATCTTCTCTACAAAATAGGCTAAAACGTGTTTCAATTGATCGAACCATTGAAGAAATTTCGAGGGCGAAATGCGAGTGACCAAAAAGGGCACTTTTTGAAAGCCCCACTTTCACAAGAGTTCGGTTTTGACTATATAGTGGAAAATGACCGGAAAATGACCGAAATATCATTCAAAATAATTAAGAGTTCGGATCATTTCATGGGGAAACTCTTTACAATAATTTTTCTTCTTTGTGAAAAAGCCGATTTTTTGACAATTTTGAGGGTTTTGAACTTACGCTCTATCTAAATTTCTGTAAATGCATTTCCGTTAGACTTTTTTAATTAATTGATATATAGTTATCCTTTTTCTTTTTAAATCTTCAATTTTGGGAAGCTAACTCTATTTTGACCACACTAAACTTGTCCCTAAAGTGACTCGATTCCTTTTTTGGTCACTCGCATTTCGCCCTCGAAATTTCTTCAATGGTTCGATCAATTGAAACACGTTTTAGTCTATTTTGTAGAGGAGATTTACAACTTTCAAATATTGGGTTGGGGAGAATGAGTCGGCGCCGAAAATGAAAAAAATGTCTAAAACTTCTATTCGACTTCGTCAAATAATATACGTTTGATATCAGTAGAATGGTTAACTAATTCTCTACAAAATGACATTTAAAAGAAAATTCAAACAGCGCCTCCGCTCAAGAAAAAGCCATTTTTTCACAAAAACTACAAACTGTGATCTAGAAAAAACCATTGGTGGGATCTTCCTGCAAATTTGGCAACTTAAGTAATTCAATGTGCTCTATCTTTTTTATATAAACACCAAAGAAGGTTTATGTGAAAGAAACTGTTCAAATGATGAGTCGGACTCTTTGCCATTTTAACCAGCTGCCTTTGGAAGTTCATAAACTCCACGAAAGAAAAGCTTTGTGGAATCTCTCAAAAGTACTTTTGTAGAGAAATAGTGGATCCTTTTGATGAAACCAAACGTATGTTTAAAGAAGGCTTTATGTGTGCAAAAAGTCCCTTTAAAGTTCGGCGCCGACTCATTCTCCCCAACCCAATAGTTTATAACATTCATTGATATCAGGTTTCTATCGTTGGAAATTTATGAAAATGTGGAAATCCGCATTTCTTATGCTTGTACCTAATAAGTATGTTTTAATTTTAGATTTGTTAGTGACCTGTACTTTGAGCTTAAAGTGCAAACACTGGTCTCAATTCTTACATTTTAAAGCAGCAAATGCTCTAAGAAATCACAGAAAATGAGCATTTAAGTGTGCTAGAAGGGTAGCGTTTGCAGCAAAGTACAGCTCAAAAAACAAGCCCGTGAGGTGATGATTGATCGCTTTTAGTTACGGTAAGCTATTTTTTAATCAACAACAAATCTTACTGTCCTATCTACGATTGCCAATTACTCTATAAGACAATAAAGACATGGTTTTGTTAGCTAATTATATCAAAAAAAATGGAGAAAATCTGCTTAAAACAATGAAAAGTACAACTTTGACCAAAAACAAGAGACCACTTGTTCACAGACAAAGAAATCTCCGAAAAAATTCTCCCAAACCCCGAATTTTTCTCATTCCTTTCTCCATTGAAAATATTGGCTATTGGTCTTAGGGCCAAGATATAGCGGACAAATGTGCTTTCTCATTCTGTTTCTTTCTTTGCGAGAGTTTGAGAGATGGATTACACAGTTACGAGGTGGAGTGAGTGAGGAGTGGATTCACTTAAAGGATTTGGGAAAGAGAGAAAAAGCAAGTTGGCACTTGCAAAATGGAAAAATGTTGGTTTTTCGGAGAGTTTTGGAAACGTCGGCTGAAAATTTTAACAGTTTCAACTTAAATAATGATAAACTATTGAAGGTAATAACTCAAAAACTTGCTCATTTTCTTATATTAGTGCTCTAGTTTACTTAATATTTACACAGTACCCAATAGAGTTGATTTGACGAATTTGATACAAAATGGATTCTTGAGGATATTCATTAGTGGCTGTAGTTAACAATAGTAACAATAGTAACAATGGGCTAACAATAGGCTAACAATAGGCTAACAATGGTACTATGCTAAAGAAGGTTTCAGAGTTGATAGGGTTTACTAAGTTTTACTAAGTTTTACTAAGCTTTGCTACTTACTAAGGAACGGTTTACTATCTGGGCTCCATTCAGTTCAGTTATCTAAAGATTTAGCTTCAAAAAGATTCAATTAGAGCCAATTCAAATCTATGCTAATAGAGCTGAAATCTAGAATTCCAAGAAGCTGAAATCTTGAGCTGCAAATTTTCATGAACCAAAAATCTTGGCAACAATCTTGTGGTAATTTTTGGATAGCTTTAAGCTTTCCAATGTCAGTAAAATAACAGAAAACTTTCCAATGTCAATAAAATAACAGAAAACTTTCCAATTTGTAACAACTTTCCCAGAAACTTGAAAATTTTGTAGTCAAAATTTTAGAGCAACTCAAAAATTCTATGATATGCCATGAGAAACAAGGAACTTTTCCCGAGGAACACCAGAAAAAAAATTCAACTTTTCAGAGTATCAATTAGTAATGAGCACACGGCAATTCAAATTAGTTGCAATGGGAAAATAGGGAGCAAAAATTTGAGCGGTTTTTGGAATTTTTTGAAATCTCCTAGAAGGGAAAGATTTGTTTAGGCCTAGGAAGTTAAAAAGTCATTTTATAGGTCTTTGTAGGTTCCAGGAAGTTAAAAAATTCCTTTAGAAGTGAAAAACGAGCTGGAACTAGTTCCGGATTTGAAGCCAGGCCTAGGCAAATCTTTCTCAGTTCCGGGGGTGGCTACTTTGCGCCAAGTTTTTTGCGCAACTGAATCTTTTGCGCAATTTGTCATAACTTTCTTCTAAGTAGGCGTATCTTTATGATTTTAGTGTTATTTTGTTGCATTTGTTGAGATCTACAAAAAGACATCAAAATGATAAAGATTCACCAACTCAGAAAGAAGTTATGCGAAAAATTTGGCCCAAAGTAACCACCCCTCACTAGGATGCCCTCACTAGGAATGCTTCTCGATTTATTGCTTTTGCGCAGCTCCGAAGACGTGGGCGCGTGGCGTACTGGCTAGTGTGCTTGCCTCCAGTTCTTCAGCTCACGGTTTCAAACCCGCTTGCAGACATTTTTTTTGCTTTGTGGTTTAGTGATGTAAAAACCCCGAATTAAACAATTTTAGGGTCACAAAAAGTTATGCTTAAAAATTCTGTGTAAACTTTGGAACTAAATATCTTACGAATTTCCACACATCATCCCCAAATGACCTGGAGATTCGGAATCAACGCAAAAAACGATGTTTAGGCTATGTCGGAACCAGCAAAACTATGTCTAGGCTCAAACGCCAGGTGTAAATCAAAAGCATCCCTAGCTCCTTGAAAGGGCTCCTTAAAATTCTGCAAAACACCAACCCTTGTTTTCTGTGGAACAGGCTCGAACCGGATCTCCTCCCTTGAAAAGTCGAACATACTCGGAATCGGTGTCGATCTCCCGGAGTTTCCCATTTCCATTTGAATGACCGGCGCATGGTTTCGGAATACAGTAGTTCTTGGGCTTAAAGGACCCGGTGAATGAGGTTCAGATGGCGGCTGGTTTAAGTCAGCGCCACCCAATTGCAACGTCGGTGTCCCGGGTCTTCCCTCAAATTCGGAAATCCTCGACGTGACACTCCCCTGCGATGGTGACGGGAAATTCGGGTTCACTTTGAGGCCACTCCTCGGCAAAGTGTTTTGCTGTAAACCAGCATAATAGATTTGCTCCTTAATATTGTGCTTGGGTTTTGGATGCGGTAGACCGGAGGGCATTTGGTACACCGAACTGCTTTCACTCAACTGATCCGGAGATGGCGAGTGGATTTTCGGGCGATTTTGTTGCGGTGGACTTAACGCAAATTCTTCTAATGGAAATCTTGCTACCCCAGCCGCTTGTGGTATCAATCGATGATCTGAATGGTCAAAATTTGACCCACCATTCGTTTGTATTCGAATTGGTTGAATGATCGTTGATTTGTAGGGCGTTGGTGAAGCCACTCGTTCAGCCTCTTTTTGAAATTGAGCTCGTTTTTGAGCAAGAATTTCACCACTCACTTTTCTTTGTGGAATTCTCGGCGGATCATTTGGATCTTCTTGCAAAAGTTGGAGTCGCTCAGCGGCACTCAATTGTTTCGGGATCAAAGGAATTGGTGTAGTTGAGCGCAATGTATTTTCCCAGTAAGACGTGATTTGTGGACTTTTCCGGAACTCTGGAGCTTCAGCAGCTTTTCTATCAACTGAAGGAGGGACAGCATCATTTCTCATATCTCCATGACTTGAGCTCTTCGTCAGAATAGCTGACTGCCGACTGGACCCATTCACATAAGGATGCTGAGATGGACTCGCTTCTTCATTGTTCTTGAACTTTTCTTGCATTTGAGCAAAAGAGCTTCTCCATTGATTCGTGGATCGATTCATATCCTCTCCAAGCACTTCATCAACAAATGCATCCAAGGAGAAATTCGTGGGAGTTGGGCGAGAGTCTTGAACGACGAATTGAAGCGGTCGATAGGGTTCTCGGTTGTAAGGATCTCGATATCCGTTTAGTTGATTGATCTGCGGATTGATTGCACTTCTTTCAACAAAAGTCTTTGGGCCAGCTCCAAAATCGGTTGTAGTTCTCGTTTCGCGAAACGTTGGCCCACCACCGTTTGATCGTTCAGTTGTGACAGTTTCTTGATAAGTGACTGGGAAAGCTTCTCTGGGAAAGCTTCTCTGCTCTGGCTCATCAAAATCCTCTCGAATAGAAGAATAAAGAGATTTTCCCGGAAAAGTTTTCGAATACTGAGGATTTATTGGAGTGAATCGAGCCTCTTCTCGCCAATGTGGCTTTTCAGAAAACTCGTGAAAAGAGTTGCTTAGCTGATTGAATTGATTTACAGCGTCTCCAAACTCGTTATTATGAGGCAATGAAGTGGTTCGATGAGTAGATCTTGGCACAGTCAGCTCAACAATCGGAAAACCGCGTTCATCAACACTCGGACGAAAATGTAGGGTAGACGTGGGTCGTTCCTCGGTCCAATATAGCCGCTGGGGGGCTGGATGTTTGTTCTGTCGAGCTGATGGGTATCGATTGAGGAGATCGAGGAGAGCCGAGGAAGAGGAGGGTGATCGGTCTCTCAGAGAGGAGGGGATTGAGGTGGAGAGTGGCCGGCTGTGGGGGCTGTTAAACTGAAGAGAGGAGTGCGAGTCGGAGGGCCATCTCTCTGGTGTTCTCTCTGCGGCGACACTCGCTGGTCTAGCGGGTTGCAAATGTTGTGCGCGGTTTTGGTGAAGCGACTCGGCATCCATCGAGTGAGCGAGTGCATCGTCCATGAGACCAAGACCGTCTTTTCGATAGGAAGAGGGGAAGTTTATGTTGGAGACACGGGAGGAGTCGATGGGTTCAGCCATTGGGTAGGCATCCTCGTGGTGTTCCTCGTGAAAGGGAGCCGCGCCTTGAGCAGCTAAATAGGAGAGTGGGCGGCCGAATGATCGTGATTGAGAGGGGAAATTGAGGCTTGTGGAGTCGCCATGCCAGCCTGGGCGAGTACCCGAATACTCGCGACGCCAACTCATCGACACATGTGCGGAAAAACCTGGAAACTTGGGGTTTATGATCGAATTGAAGAAGTGGTTTTATGAGAGAAATAAATTGGAAACAGAAAGTGAAATGTTCAAAGGATTTTGATGGTAGAAAAACTGAAATCAATCTTGTTCAAAGGGAGATCGGAGGTTTTCAAGTTCAATTATTGATGATCAAGGAAAATAGGATTAACCGGATCAACTTGAAAACTTTTCATACTCAACGATTCAAGTTGAAAACTAACGTGAAAAGTTGTAAGGGTTGAAAGCGGAAAAGTGGATTGAAAAGTGAACATTGGGCTGAACATTGGACTGAAAAAGGAATATATTTTAGAAATTAGTCATATATTGAATAAAGCTGGTAAAAAAAAGTTCAAGTCATAGCAAATCTCAGACTCTACAGGTGGCCGCAAATTATGGCGATTCCTTTTTTGGAAGAGTTTCTGGCAAACGCCTAACTCATTACCAAAGTGTCAAGTGTTATATAGAGAATTGAAGCCCTGAATCTTGGCATCATTTTTCTACAAAATGCTTTAAGATTGGAGTTATACAACATATTTTACAAGCTTTTGAATAAGCTCAAGTCGACTTCTTTTCGGCGACCTACCATTTTTGACACTTTTCTTAATGAAAAATTGTTAAAAGGTTTTCTCGATTGTGAGAAAATCACATTTAATATCATTTAATATCATTTAATAACAATAAGAATAACAGCAAAGCTCTTTTGTCAAACTCTTATAGCAAAAATTGGGGTTGATTTCTGAGTGCTGGGTTTTTCCCAGGTTCAAAAAGGGAAAATTGAGCTTTTTCGAATATCCATTTGACAAGATCTTACTGTATATGCTTCTCTAGCATTATTTTTCCGTTGAATCATACATTTAAAGTAAAATAATACAAGTTTGATTGAAGGAATCCTTTTCTAGACGAAAATATTTCAAAAAGTGTCAAAAATGATAGATCGCCGAAGAGAGGTCGACTTGAGCTCATTCAAGAACTTGTAAAATGAGTTTTATAACTCCAATCTTGAAGTTCTTTGTGGAAAAATGATGCCAAGATGAAGGGCTTTATTTTTCTATGTAACACTTGTCATTTTGGTAATTAATCAGGCGTTTATCAGCAACTTTTTCAAAAAAGGTGTCACTATGATTCTGTATTGAGTCTTAGAAAGCTCAAGAATTATAGAATTTGCATAAGATCAAAGTTCAGCGGCTTCTGGGTTCGCTAAACAAGAATTAGCGCAAGAATTAGCATCCTTTTGTATCGTAAACAAAATAAAAAACACAAAATACTACAAGTTTGATTGAAAGAATCTCTTTCTAGATGAAAATATTGTGATTCAAAAAGAGTCAAGAATGGCAAATTACAGGAGAGAGGCCGACTTGAGCTCGTCCAAGAGCTTGTAAAATGAGTTTTATAACTCCAATCTCGAAGCTTTTTGTAGAAAAATGATGCCAGGATGAAGGGCTTTATTTTTCTACTTGGCACTTTGGTAATAAGTCAAGCGTTTGCCAGCAACCTTTTCTAAAAGGTGTCGCCATAGTTCGTGGTCACCCTGTACTATGAATCGCTTTAAAATTACAGGGTTTTCAAATTAAAAGCTTTCAAATTACAAATAAAACTTTGCCAGACAAAAAAAACAAAATCTTAGCTTATGGGTGCCAAAAGGAGCACGTAATCGGGGCGTTCAAAGGTGGGAGGCCAGATCTTAAAGAATGGAGGAAAAGAGGGAAAAGAATGGAACACTCGAAAGGAGAGCGAGGAAAACGATGGGAATCAGATTGCAGACTGGTTTTGTTTTTGAGAGAAAAACGCGAGACTTGGACTGAAGAATAAGTGCTGGGGAAAGTGATGGCAAAGACTTATTGATGGTTGAAATTTTGAACAAGAAGAGCTAGAATTTAGCTATTATAGCTATTATAATTTAGCCATTATAGCTATTATAATTTAGCTATTATAGCTATAATAGATTTTCTATTATATTAAAGTATTAAAAATTAAAGCTATAATAGCTATAATAGCTATAATTTGTTCAATTATTCTTTAAAATAATGTCTGCAGCTCATGAAGTTAAAATGTCAACTGAAAACTAGCTAGGAGCTGAAATTTTGAATCCAAATTTAACAAGATCTTTGTATTCTTTGTAGAACAGTGAAATATATCAAGAAATCGGATTTCATATTGCTCAAATAGGATCTCAAATCTCAAAAGATCTCACACTGCAGAAATGGTCCTGTAGAAATATGATACATAAAGCTGCAAAGCAAAAGAGCTGTATCTGCTTAAATAAAAAAGCAATTTGTAAATAAATAATAGGAGTTTCTGAAAAAACAACTCATAGATCGATTGGCTCATTATATGTTTCAAAAATGAACCTTTAAAAAGCGGAGATTTTGTGGCCAATCAGAGAAGTTTGTTTTGGTCTGTTTTTCTAGAGTCTATATAAACGAAGATGGCAGATCTTTCACTGGCCACGAAAGAAGAGATCATCGGACATCTTCGATGATCTCTTTCCTTTTTGCCTCTATGAGAAACGACAGTTCCAATCATCAAACCCAGCCTAACACCGTTTCCTTTAGAAAAAACTGTGTTAGGATTTGGAAAAGTTGATAAAAACATCTTACTTTTCTAGAGAAATCTCTAAGAAATTCATATTTAGAATATGGATTTACAAAAGCTAGTTTACACTGTTGATTTTTATTTACAAAGCTACGTTGCACCGTTTATGAGAATTGAGGCTTAGAAAAGAATAGAATGAGGCTTAGAAAAGAATAGAATTTGAAAAGAAGTCTAAGAAGAATCAAGTGAATCAAGCTTAAGGAAAGAATTAGAATTAGAGATCAAGTGAAAAAGTGTTCTGGTTCTCTGAACAAGCTATCAATTTAAATGATTAATGTTATTATTGATCAATGATCAATCTCAAGCTCAATCTTATTTTGATCCAAAGTCTTCAACTATTTTCAGATCACTTGAAAAGCAAACATTTCAAACTTTCAAACGGTTAGCCAATAATTGTTTGCGAGGAGGTTCTGGTGAAATATTTTTGTGGCCTGAGAAGTGTTTGGCCACGTGCAGTCAATAGTCACGGATTGATGGAAGGGACAAAAAATAGAAAAAGAATCGAAAGGACAAAGAGAGATACAGAAGAGAGATGAGAACATGGAAATTATTTGCCTCGTCGATTTTTCGAGAGGCTCTTTAGAGACACGGATGAACAAATGCGACACGGATGAACAGATGTTTTTGAAAGATTTGAGATTTGCTTGTGATTTTTGTAAAAATGAATCGAGAGCTTCGATCTGCTAGATAATGACACTAAGCGATCTAGCTAAAACACTAAACAAGTAGGCAAAATTTTGCTTGTGAGATGCGTTTTGATGGCTTGATCTTGTTTTGACTCAAAAATCGACTATATCTACGAATGGAAAAAGCTTTTTGAGTCAAAGTTCTAGTCTGGTCACCTAGCACAAATGAAATTTCTCATTCCACATAACTTGCATTACTCTGACTTTGAGCTTGTAGTACTTTTTGGTTGTACTTTTTGGAATTTCATAAAGCTCCCGATTAAGGTGATACAGAATTCGGTAAAAAAAACAGTTCATATCTTGGCTTTACTTGCTAGATAAGATTCGACTCGAAAAGGTCTGAATTATCAGGTTTGTCGGAAAGTCTCCGCTTTTTAAAGGTTAATTTTTGAAACAAATAATGAACCAATCGATCTATGGGTTGTTTTTCAGAAATTTCTATTATTTATTTACAAGTTGCCCTTTAAGAAATTCTGAAAAGCTCGGGTTAATTTATTTTTATAAAGGTGTAAAGTCAAGGAGTCAAAAACGATGAAACTCAAAGCTCCGATTTGAGCACTTTTTGTCACAGAAGCCTATTTGGATGTCAAAAGACAAAAAATAGAGAATAAAAAGTTAGGCAGATAGATAAGTTTTCATAATATTTCACCTTGCTGTTTTCATTTTATGTCCATTGTAAGGAATTTAGGAAAAACAAGAATTCCCGGTCGCCTTTGTTTCAACTGGACTCAATTGGACTAAATTGGACTCAAATTTGCCTAAAAATGAGCTAAATGAAATAGTTAATCCTATTTATTTAAAGCAAATAACACGTTAATCGGCTAATTATTGATTTAAAAACGAAAATTTCAAAGGGTGGACAAGACTTTCCGGGGAAACCAAAAGAAAATCAGCTGTAGCTTCAAAATTTAGATGACCATCTAGCACAAATGATTTTAGTCCAATAAACAGGTAAATAAACAGGTACCAATTTTTCTTACTCATAAACGGATTTAATACTGTCTAATTTGCTAGATGTACAGGTGGAGTTTAAGAATTTTTGACAATGGTATAGTGTTTTTTGAAAGTATTGAAGAGATATGATTAACCTAATCAATCAATTTTTGCAGTTTTTTTCTGTGGCAAAAGAAACAGAGAAAATGTTTCAAGAAACAAATTGAAATTCGATCTTTATCTCGGAAGAAATATAATAGCAGACCAAAAAATCAAAGCAAACAAGTGAAAGGAGAAGGGGAAAGGACATTGATCGACAGAGAGAGTTTGCTCTAATTTTTTTTTCATTTCTTTACTTTAACTCTAACGATCGCCTACTCTTGTACAAGGTTCACCCCCCGTTTTCTCCCTTAAACATAGTCTTTTCTCTAAAACAAATCAAACAGACTGACGCAAATAGTGAGTTGCAAAAAGGAAAACGAGGATGATGATTAATTTTCAAAGAAAAAGCAAACATTGCATTGATCGACGTGGAAAAATCGGCGGGATGGGGTGTTGTGATGGGAAATAAAGGAAATGAGAAAGAAAATAAATTGAGAATTGAAAAGAAAAAGCTGTTGAATCATTGCTAGTGTTTCAAAATATAAATGTTTTTGTTGCAACAAGAAAAGTACTTTATTATTAGGTTGTTCGGATATAAACAAGCGTTACTAAACTTATTGTTGTGAGGAAAGCTTTTAAAGCTTCTTTTAAAACATG